TGCCTACGAGCGTGTGACACATTGCACGTGTGCTCGGACGGGCCGCCACCTGGCTACTTTCACTCGGGAGCCGGGGTCGGACCTGTACACACTGACCACTGAGTCCCCTCAGGTAGCTGCGTCTGCGTCTGCGTCTGCGTCAGGTCAGCTGTCCGCCCCCTGCTCATGTCGCTCTCTTGCGCATGAGACTGTCCTCTGGCATCACCGCCTTGGTCACCCGTCTGTGCAGCGCCTTCGGGCCATGCACAAACGGAACCTGCTGAAGGAGCGGTACGAAGTACGGTCGCGGCCGCGTAGCGTCTCCAGAAGCAGCAGGGACACCAGTGGCAGCCCCAACGCCCGAGTCCTCAGCACCAGCAGCAGCTCCAACGCCCGGGTCCTCAGCACCAGTAGGAGCTCCAGCGCCCGAGTCCTCAGCACCAGCAGCAGCGCCACCGGTCGGGTCCTCAGCACCAGCAGCAGCCCCAACGCCCGGGTCCTCAGCACCAGCAGCAGGGCCACCGGTCAGGTCCTCAGCACCAGCAGCAGCGCCACCGGTCGGGTCCTCAGCACCAGCAGCAGCTCCAACGCCCGGGTCCTCAGCACCAGCAGCAGCTCCAGCCCCCGGGTCCTCAGCACCAGCAGCAGCTCCAGCGTCCGGGTCCTCAGCACCAGCAACAGCACCACCGCTCGGGTCCGCAGCACCAGGAGCACCACTACGAAGACTGCAGCGCCGCGTGTACCACTCGCGGATCACCATCACCCTGACTCAGTCACACATGGTGCAGCAGGTTCTCCAGCGCTTCCGCTTCACGTACTCCTCGCCTCAGTCCACTCCTCTGCCTACCGGTCACTCGCTCTCAGCTCTGCCTTCGGATGAGTCCGTAGAGCCGAGTGGCCCGTATCCAGAGCTTGTGGGCTGCCTCATGTACCTGATGACCTGCACTCGACCTGACCTTGCATACCCTCTTAGCATCCTAGCACGCTATGTCGCTCCTGGCCGTCACCGGAAGGAGCACATGGATGCCGCTAAGAGGGTGTTGCGCTACTTGTGCAGTACGTCGGGCATGGGGCTTGTGCTTGGAGGGCGAGACCGGGTTGTTCTCACAGGGCACTCAGACGCTTCTTGGGCAGACGACCAGGCTACTCAGCGGTCGTCCCAGGGTTACACCTTCAGCCTTGGCTCTGGCTCAGTTTCTTGGCGTTCTACTCGCTCTTCTTCTGTTCTCAGCTCGAGTTGTGAGGCTGAGATCTACGCCACAGCCATGGCTGCTCAGGAGCTACGCTGGCTGACCTACCTGCTGACCGACCTCGGAGAGCGGCCTCGTTCTCCTCCAGTGCTGTACGTCGACAACAAGGCTGCCATTGCCTTGTGTGAGGAGCACAGACTGGAGCACAGAACGAAGCACATCGCTCTGCGGTACTTCCTTGCTCGAGAGCTGCAGCAGCGTGGTCAGCTTTGTCTGCGTTACGTGGCCACGGAGGCCAACACTGCTGATGTGTTCACCAAGGCGCTTCAGCCTTGTGACCATCAGCGCTTTTGCACTCTGTTAGGCCTTGTACCTACTGGGCCTCACTTGCTTACCTCTTGACCTTACTTGTACTGTGATCACTGTATATATATGCCTACTTGTTTACTTTTGCTAGGTTGTGATCACTGTATCTCTTGCTTTGTTATAAACCTGCATGTGAGTGACCGCTTGCTTGTGCTCGGAATTTGTGTGGAATCCTTGAGATCCACCCTGAGCTTGCTTTGCTTTGCTTTGACTGGTCTTGTGACCCTGTGGTTGTCTCCCACTGCGCCTATGGGGGTGTGTCAAACATTGCATGTTTATATTGTCTAGGCTGTAGTGGGTTACACCTTAGGGGGTACACAAAGTTAGGGTTTCCTACTTGTACCAAACTCTGTGCTAGTTCATTTCATTCCTGCTCAGTTATTCTGACGGTTTCCCACCGTCGAAGCGCCCCCCGTCGCCCGTCGAAGCGCTCCCCCCCGTCGCCCGTCGAAGCGCCCCCGTCGCCCGTCGGAGCGCCCCCCGTCGCCCGTCGAAACGCCCCCGTCGCCCGTCGAAGCGCCCCTGGGACCCGCGCGCGGCCCGTACGGGCTGCGCCAGGCCCGCGCGCGGCCCGTACGGGCTGCGCCAGGCCCGCGCGCGGCCCGGGCAGCCCGCGCGCGCCTCGTCCGGCCTGCGGCAGGCCCGTGCGCGCGCCTCGTCCGTCCCCCGAGCTTCTGCCGGCGCCCCACCCCCGCTACTGCCCGCGTTCCTGTGTTAGGGTTTGGGGGTGGAGGGTATGGGGGTGCCGTGAGTGTGAGCCGTCCCCTGCTCCTCCTCCTCCTCCGTCTCCCACAGCTGCAGCTGCCGCTGAGGGGGGTGGGTGTGTGGGGAGCCGAAGGAGTGGTGCTAGGGGGGTGACGTGGGAGTGGAGTTAGGGGTTGCAGCAGGGGGTGTGTGTTGGGGGGTGTGGGACAGTTGGAGGAGGTTGGGTGGAGGCAGCCGTCGTGTCGTCTGCAGCGCCTGTATTCCGGGGTTCTGATAGCCACCGGTAGCTCAGAGAGCCGGTTGCACCTGTCGCCCGTGGGTCCGTTGCTCCTGTCGCTGCTGATCAGACGCAGAGCCTGTTACTCCTGTATTCCGGGGCCCTTGCTCCCGGTAGCCACTAGAGCTGCACCAGAGCCGTCTGTTGCCCGTGTGTCTGCAGCTTCAGTCGTCGCCTCCACTCCTCTCTCCCCTCGCCAGCCCTCCTCCTCCTCACTTGCCCTCTGTGACTACCTCTAGCTTTGCTCATAATTGTGAACTTTAAACTATTGCTTCTTGAACTTGTGCTCAGAATGCGTGGTGACATTGTGATCCACCCTGAGCTTGTACTGCTTTGCTTGCTCTGCTGATTACACCCCACTTTGGCTATGGGGGTGTGTCAGAATATTATGCTCTAGCCTGTAGTGGGGTGCTCTATAGCGAGTACAACCCTTCTAGGGTTTGCTATTTGTATGCCCATTCTTGCTAGTGAAACCCCTCCTTTGCTCATTTCTCTCTTGCCTAGCTAGGGTTTACCTAGCTATGGCTCCTACTTGTGCCTACTATTCTAACACTCGACGTGTATGACCTACTGTCAAACATTGCATGTTTATATTGTCTAGGCTGTAGTGGGTTACACCTTAGGGGATACACAAAGTTAGGGTTTCCTACTTGTACCAAACTCTGTTCTAGTTCATTCATTCTTCGTTCCAATTCTCCTTCGTAAACCCTAACTCCTAGTTCTAGAGCACACCCACCTACCTCCTAGTGTGGGCCTAGGCTACTAAGCCTAGGCCCCACACCTACGATTCTAACACCTACCACATGCATTCGGTTTGTACCTACTAGACGAATTCTAAGGACGATCGGATACTATCTGGCGTACGATATGCCTTCCCCCTCTACAAATACGACGGACATGGACGTCCACGCATCGCCTCCGGTGTGGGTTGGGGGGGGGCTCGACGCGGTGCAGCTTTTGCGCAACTGCGAAGAGCAGGTAAGGAGCAAATTTCCCTGCGAGAGGCTGCTGGATGCATCGACCTTGTGAGATGATTACTCACTTTGTGTCCTCGTCACTACCATCAGGCGGTCAACAATTGCCAGTGGATGCGGGAGGATGCACGGGTGGCACAGATGAGGAGAGGGGCGAAATGCAGACAACGGAAGAGGAGACAGGCTGCGAGATAGCTGAAGGAGGGGAACCTGGACCTTTCAACGATGATACGGCGCCGTCCATCGTCAGTGGGGCAACAACTGTCCCGCCCCCGACACCCACGGAACCCTCATCCATTCCAGTTCTTGAGTAAGATCGGAACGGCGTGTATCTTCGATTGGATTTCAAGAGAGGTGCATCCGATCTCATGTGCTATGATTCATACACATCCCCCCGATTCAAAAGTTACTCTACCGTTTACCCTCACTCTAACATTTCCCTTGCGTGTCTCCTCATTGTGAATATTCTTGTCCAGGCCATCCTGCAATCAACACCACACGGTGGCTCAACGACCGGTCCTCAGGTACTGGCCTGCCAATCCACAAGTTGACGCGATCCCTGAAAAGCGGGTATGTCTGGTCGAGCCGCGAAACTTGGTGGGGTTTTTCCGTGGATGTCGTCTTGTCTGTTCGCATAAAGCGGGGTGCGACGGCGAGATGACGTTGAGGTCGTGGCGATTTTCATGGGCATCAATAGGGTTGCTTTGGCACTGTAACTCATGTGCACATTCGGTCGAGTTTTGGTCCTGTACGAGTAGAACCATTGAGAAAAAGCGAGCCACTGGTGGAGCACGTCCGCCCATTCTCCAGTCAAAATTCATGGCAGCCTTTGCCTTAGGGGGATTAGGATATCACCACATGTGGGAGTTTTGTCGGACCTTTGGCATCCCTTCGCCAGCCAAAGCCACAGTCTATAAGCACCTGAGCGATGATGAAGGTCTATGGAAAGCAATCATAAAGGAAGCAGAAAGGTCGATGCTGGAGGTGCGTGCGGAAATGCTGAAACGCGGGATACAGGGGGAATTTGTCATGGTAGATGGACGATGGTCTCACGTGAGAGAAGGAGAGTGGTGCACAGTATCATTCATGGACAGCATAACACGGAAGATACTGTACGTCTCGACAACACAAAAGCATGTCCATGACCCGTCATCTGTGAGGTTGGAGAGAATTGCGTTTGACAAGGGAGTCGACGAACTAGCGGCGGAGGGTTTTGTGGTGGAGGGGATAGTTTCAGATCAGGGAACCACGTTCAAGGGAGCTGCTGCCGATCGTAAACTGAATCACCAGGTAGACACGTGGCATGTGAAGAAGACACTGTACAACTTATTTCGAAAGGAATTACAGGACGCGGTACGGGCACCCGTGGCGGTGGAGAATGCTACTAGGATCGAAGAGTTATGGATTGCTACGGTCGAAGCGCTGAAGCAGTGGTTGAAAAACAAAGGGCTTCTTCAACAAAGCAAGGCGACGCTGAAGGAGAGTTTGGTGGAGTCAGTGTGCGAAGCCATGGGTGCTTTTCCCTATGTGAAGATGACACAAGACGATGCAAAGTGGAAGCATGTGGAGTTGCGGAAAGTGCGACGGCTTGGTGGTAGTGGCGCTGTGGTACATGTTCCAGTGCACTACGGAGAAGCGCCCGGCGCACAACATGGGAGTCCTACACAATATCCAAGTGGGGGGGGACCGATGGGCATGTACACGACCTACGAGAATCCAGTGGAGGGATGGTGGAGGTTCAGTGGAGAGATGTCGAGGAGCTCTGGACATATGATGTGCATCCTCTGCGTGGCGTACAGCCATCGTCACTCGCCTCTTCTCTGGTTGTGCGTGCGCACACGGGGACGCACGTGCATTCCCATTTCATCAGAGAAAGCACTCCATGGACCTCGGCCGACCTCGATGCAGGTGAGTATGAGATGCGCCCCTTGTTTAGTACATTCGTTGGCACCATATATAGCAATAACCACCTTATTGACGCCTAACTTGCAGGACATGAGGGAGCGGTTGGGGATCCTGGTACGTGTGATGAAGACAGAGCTGGGTGTGCAGCTGAATCTACAGCACCACTACGTTGGACAAAGCGTCGGAAACGAAAACGGGATGGTGATGACCAGACTGCAGATGATGAAAAGGTGACTGTGGCTTCACGCTTTGCTTCGCACTTTCATTATGTCATGATGAGATGTGCTGCACGGAAGGCGGCAGGGAACGCGATGACACCGGAAGATGTGGCTTTCGAGCTGGGGCTTGCAGCCAACCATTGGGCGGGGGATCATTCAGGGTGTGGCCATGGGGGGCGTACATCTCGTTGCGTGACGGAGAAGTGGGGCAATGAGACTGCGATTTACGAGAAAGGCTCGGAGACGCACAAGGCAGTGCAGGATTGGCTTGCGAAGAGATGCGGGCCAGACAAGGTGAAATCGTTCGTCCATGGTGCGTCTAGTTCCATAAACGAATCTTTCCATTCAGTCATCCTCAAATACGCTCCGAAGAGGATTCGCTTCCGTGGAAGTTTCGAAGCGCGAATGGCGCTTGCTGTTCTGCACTGGAATAATTCCATGGATCGGTTAGTGACCGCGTATCGCACGCGCCAACGACAGGTTACACGGATTCGCCGTGGCAACAAGGATCGGAGCTTAACACCAATGGATTGGTCATGGCTTGATGGCATAATGGAGTCGTGGCTCAAAACCTTGAGTGGGGAGGCAGACGATGAGACGGGCGGGGAGCCGACGAGTCCTATTCGTCCAGATGCCACGGAGAGCACCACCAGCGCCCAAGAGGGTTTGGATCCTACCACGCCTGCACCACCGCATGAGGGTAGAGACCCCCCCCGTCCATTGACGCGATCACGGACAAGACGTTGTCTGAGTAAGTTGTGTCCCGTTACATTCGCAACATGCTTACTCTCCTCTCTCCTCATAACCTCTTGTCAGAATACTTACCAAATAACAAGATGGTAACACCACTCCTTTTGCAATTGTGATGTAGGTGACATCTCAAACTTCCCACGCTAAGCGTGGCCGACCCTCTCTCGGCGTTCGTCGTGGACCAAAGATACCCTTCCGCATACCACGCCAACACATGAAGCCGGTAAGTCACCAACCCCCCATATCACCGCCATCCATCACCACTTCTTTGCAAACAGCTCATTGCACACACCCTTGTTCACTTCCTCCCCGTTGTCGCCCCCCTGTCATATGTCAACTATCGTGCCATTTCCTTAGCCCATGCAGACCTGGAGTGCTCTTGTTGAGGCGGTATCCCAGCCACCACTTCAGCTGCAGCAGCCCCCTCCCATCCCCCTCCCATCCCCTGGCCATCCCCCTCCCATCCCCCTCCCTTCCCCCTCCCATCCCCCTCCCATCCCCCTCCCATCCCCCTCCCATCCCCCTCCCATCCCCCTCCCATCCCCCTCCCATCCCCCCCCCATCCCCCTCCCATCCCCCTCCCATCCCCCTCCCATCCCCCTCCCATCTGTTGAGCTGAGATAGCCCCTTAGGATCTTTTCAAGGGAGAACTCTGGGTGGGATAGTGTTGTAATAGCGGAAGCGTTTAACAAAGTTTGTGAACCACCTTGCGCTGGTATGTGAGGGCAAAGTAGATTGATTATAGCAAGGAAGTACAAGATTATATAATAATGCAAGGAGTATGAAAGGATGCAGTTTGTAACTACTTTACTGTTGCTGTTGCGGTTCGATACAGTACGACTCGGGCAACTGCTCTGTAACGAGTCAGTTGTGTGTCCTTAACTGTCGCGCTGTATTTGTCAGGTCAAAGGTCGCTTGACCTTTGACTTTCGCGTAACCTCCGGTAACCTCTCAACCTCCGAAGGTTGACTCGCGTTTGTTTCGATACTGCTTGCTTCGCTTCTGGTGCGATGTTTCGACACGACTGAAGCGCTTAAGATTCACTGTTTCCAACACTCCCCTTCGCTTCTGGAGTGTCGTTGCTGATGACGTGGCTCTGTCCAGTCAGCAGCATGCAGTACTCGAATTTCTGCTTTCCGAGTTTCTTGGTCAAATAATCGGCTGCCATCTCGGACGTGGGACAGTATGACAGCTGAAGTCTCCCCTTCTCGATCTCGTCCTTCACGAAGAAGTAGCGCAGGGCGATGTGTTTCGTCCTGTTCGCGAAGCCGTTCTTGTTGGCGATGCGAATTGCAGACTGGTTGTCGCAGAACAGGGTGAAGTTGGGTAACTCAGCTAACTTTGCTTCTTCCAGCAGCTCGCGAAGATAAAGGCCTTCCTTGGTGGCTGAGCAGAGTGCGATATATTCTGCCTCAGCTGATGATAACGCGATTAACTCCTGCTTGCTCGACTGCCAGGAGATAGGTCCGATAGGTTCGAGGCGGTAGACGTAGCCGGTACGTGAGCGCCTGTTGTCGGAGTCGCCGGCGTGATCGGCGTCGACATAGCCGATTAGCTTAGTTGGTGTAGCTGCGTTCTTGTGGTAGGTTAGGCCGATCGTCGCGGTGCTGATGAAGTAGTGAAGAGCGCGGTCAAGTTCCGCCAGATGTTCTGCTTCAGGCTTCTTGAGGTAGGTGGCGAGTTGACTTGCGGAGTATGAGAGGTCGGGACGGCAAGTGACGGCTGCGAAGAGGAGGCATCCGAGCTTCCTCTGATAGTCGCGTATGCCGGCTGGTTTGAGTAGAGTGGATCGTCCCTTCTCTGTTCCTGTTGTGTAGCGGTAGGGCGTGGAGATGGCGGTTGGTGTGAGAGCGAAGCGTTTAGCGATAGTGTCGGCGTATTTCTCGGCGCTGAGATAGATCGCATCTTCTTCTTCTCGGATGTTGAGGCCGAGGTACTGTGTGACGGTAGACGAGACCGTGAGTGTGAGGTCTTTCTGCAGCTCCCCTTCGAACCAGGTTGCGATGCCGTCGGTTGACCCGATGTAGAGGAGATCGTCCACGTAGACGATTAACAGGACGTAGTCGTTGTTCTTAGTGAGTCGATACATGCCTTGGTCGTGCGGGAGTTGCTTGAAGCCGATGCGGATGAGACGAGCGTGCAGGTATTGCTGCCATAGTCGTGGGGCTTGTTTGATCCCGTAAAGCGACTTGAGCAGCTGGCAGACATGCGTGGAATCTGTGTTGGAGCCGTGCGGCAGCTCCACAAAAATTTCTGCGTCAACAGGTGCGTAGAGAAAGGCGTTTGCGACGTCGATTTGTCGTAGCTTTTTCTTCTTCATGGCGGCGATCGCGAGGAGAATGCGTAGTGAGGTGTGTCGGCTGACCGGAACAAAGGGTTCGGTGAAGTCGCGTCCGTGCTCTTGGTCGAAGCCGCGTACGACCCAGCGCGCCTTGAATTTGTCGATGGTGCCATCTGCTTTCGTCTTCACGCGGAAGACCCATTTTCCGGTGAGAATGGTCTTGTTTCGTGCTACACCGATAGGAACGATTTTCCAGGTGTTGCGTTCTTCTAGCGCTTTCAGCTCCTTGTCCATGGCTTCACGCCATTTTTCCCTATGTTCCCCCCCCAGAGCCTGCTGAATCGTTGCAGGCTCTTTAGGAATGGCGGCGCCGTGGACCGCGGTGACGAGCCCGAGTATCTGGAGTCCACTCTGTGTGTAGCGGGGGAGTGTGGTGTCCTCGGGATAGACTGCCTCGTCTCCAGCTTCTGGATCAGGTGCGAAGTTGGGCCCTATGCGTTCTGCTTCGTTGGTGTTGACTTCAGCAGGTGTAACGTAACCGTTGTCGGCGAAGTGGTAGTAGGTTTCGGCGTTGACGCTTTCGCGAGGGTTATCTTCGTCCATCGGTACGTCCACTGAGCAGTAGGGAAGAGGTCCGGCTTCTTCCGAGGCTCCTTCCACGTTCTGCTCGTCCCAGTCAGCTTCGTCTTCTGCCGAAGCGAAGGCTCGATTGCCACGGAAGCCACCTGTGGGGTCTCGATTTTCGTCCAGGTTGGCAAGGTATGTTGGCAGTGTGAGCCGTTCGTAGAAAATGACATCACGTGCTGCTACTGTTTCCTTGGTGTGGATGTCGAAGATTTTCCACGCGTTGTAATGTTTTTCGATGCCCAGGTGTAGTCCCCACTGTGCGCGTTGGGAGAATCGGCCGGCTCGTGCAGATGGGGGTCGGTACTGTACCATGCAGCCGAAGACTCGTAACATTTTTGTGCTGCCCAGTTTCCCTGTCCACAGCAGATGCGGTGATGTGTTGTTCGGGAGTGACGACGAAGAAAGCAAGTTGTGCAGCATCACGGCGTGGTCCATTGCTTCGGGCCACTGGTGGTTGGGTAGCCGCATGCCACGTAACAGTTTGCGCATGGTGTTCTGCAGAGTCCTGTTCATCCTTTCTGCTACACCCTGCTGTTGATGGGCGTAGGGAAGGGAGATGAGTCTCTTGATTCCCTTCTCCGCCAGATACTGCTTGAACCGCTGTGACGAGTATTCTCCTCCTCCGTCTGATTGGAAACTTTTGAGCTTAGCTCCCGATTCCCGTTCTGCTGCTGGAAGCCATGCCACGAAAGCCTCGAAAGCCATGTCGCGACTTGGTAAGTTTAGGTGCCAGACGTAACGTGTAGCGGCGTCGATGAAGGTGATGGTGTAGTTATACGCGTTTTGTCCGGGTTCGCGGTTGTACAAGATGTCGCTGTACACTTTCTCGAGTGGTGCATATGCAGGTGCGCTTGGGTTGTGATGCGAGACGAAGGGCTGATGCGGTAAGTCAGCTTCGGGGCAGGTGAAGCACGTTCCTCGAGCTCGCTGAAGTTCTCTGCCGTCGGTCAGTAAGAGTGAATCCTTGTCAAGTACTCCAGCTCTTATCGTGTTGTTTAATACTGTGTTGCTTGGGTGTCCCATTCTTGCGTGCCAGGTTTCTTCATTGGCGCGGTGTCCTGGCGAGCGTCGGTACATGTCGGAGTTGGAGTAGAAGCCGGCGATGATGTTCGCGCTTCTGTGAACTTCCCGTGGTGCCGGGTTGAGCTGCTGCGCCGGTGTTGGCGGCGTCTCGTCGATGAAGGGCTGTGCCGTTGAGGGACCGGCGACTGGTGTTGATGTTTCTGCTGCTGCTGATGTTGTCTCTGCTGCTGCCGATGTTGTTTCTGCTGCTGCTGATGTTGTCTCTGCTGCTGCTGATGTTGTCTCTGCTGCTGCCGATGTTGTCTCTGCTGCTGCCGATGTTGCCTCTGCTGCTGCCGACTGCTGAATTGTCGCTAACGCCCTTGTTCTCTCTGTTTCAGGAATGGTGTGCGAGTACCAGAAACCGCTCGGACTGAAGTCTGGATCAAGATCTGGAGGATGTGTCCAGTTGGTGAAGTTTACGATGGCGTCGCTGTCGGCCGTGCCAAGATCGGGAACGAAGTCGAGAACGAAGACGTTGTTCTTGAGGACCGCCTTCCCGATGTAGAGACCTCCCCTTCCGTGGTACAGCTTGAACTCCTGAGTTGTGCTGTCTGCTTCAAGATGAATGCCCTTCGCCATCAACTGACTGACGCTCAGTAAGTTGTAGCCCAAGCCCTCTGCGATTAGGACCTTGGACATCTGCAGAATAACATTTGTCTCTCGTGACTGAAGTTGAACAACTCCTTGTCGTCGTGTGCGCAGGTTCTGATTGTTGGCGACGGTGATGACAACTTCCCGTTGAAGCTGGTACTCTCGCTGCACGAAGCGTCCTGAAGAACACATGTGTTGCCCGCAGCAACTGTCCAAGAACCACGTGTTCTTTCCTGATGGCTCGTTTTGGGCGATGGCTGCGTAGGTTGGATTCGGTTGAAGTGCTTCGCGGCGAGGTGTCGTTTCATCGAGCTGTTCTTCTGGTGAGTAGTATGGTGGTGATTCCGTGACGCAAGAGTCACTCAGTCTTGCCATGCAGCTAACGATGTTTCTTGCTCCTTGTGCAGGTTGTCCCGTTGAGGTCGTTGAAGCTTGAATTTGAGTCGTCGGGTTCGCCTGTGTTGACGCAACTTGATTGCTTGAAGGCCGTAGATGCCGCTGCGGAGTTGTTGACGGGTGACGGTTTGGGCAATGTGTGCGCGGGTGCCCTGAGGTTTTGCAGATGTGGCAAAAGGGAGGTACTGGCTTCGGTTGCTGCTGTCGGTCGATTGTTGTAGTTGTTGTAACGTCGCTGAGTGTGGAAGGCAAATTCTGATGCTGTTGTCTTCTTCCTGTGTCGTTCTTCTTGCAGGTCCATGTCCTGCTGCTCGGCGTGGATTTCGGCGCAGAGTGCTGCTTCAGAAATTCTCCCGTGGGCTCGAAGAATGGCTTTGGTGGCGCGCCATTGAGGACCGAGACCACCAATGATGACCGTCACGAAGGCGTCCTCGGAGATCGATCCTCCGCATCGAAGAAGCTTGTCGCGCAGTTCGCGACATCGGCTGATATACGTCATCCCTTTTTCTCCCGGTTTCATTTCAACTGTTGTCAACTGCGCCATTAACTTGCTTTGGTTTACGCTGTCTGTTGCTTGATACAGGCTCTTCAGGTGGCTGTACGCGAGCTCAGCGGAGTTGCCGTAACCCCGGTAAGAACGTATGTTCTGCTGCTGAGTTGGTGTGACGTTCCTCAGCAGAATCGTATACGCCATCATCGATTGATACGTGTACTGCTGTTTCTCATACTGTGTGCCGTTTGCTGGATATTGCAGGGACCCGTCGAAGAAGCCGAGTATCTGCGCGCCTTCCATCATTAACTCAAACTCGAATGACCAGGTGAAGAAGTCATTTCCGTCGAAAGGTCTTGATGTCTGCAGTTTTAGAACGTGCGCGAACTGTGATTGCACTTGTAACGCGTCCAGTGGCTTGTCTTGTGCAGGTGAAGATTGCGGCATGAAGCTGATCGACCCGCGCTCGTACGGGGCGAAGGTAGGTTGCTGTTGTTGGTTTCCGCGCGCATATGACGACCCGTCGAGGCTCATGGGCGTCGCTCCGTTGTTGTTGCTGTTGTGTGATTGTGCAGGTCCCGACTGCTGGTGCTGCTCGTAGAAGGACATGAAGGAGAAGAACTTCTCCATTATACTCGGGTCGAAGTTCGCGGGGTGATTTGCGGGAGTCTCAGTAGATGTTACTCTTGGTCTTGTTGCCGTGCCTTCCTCTGTCTGCAGGCCAGAGGCAGGAGGTGGAGTAGGAGTAGTGCCTGGGGAGCCGTTAGAGGAGCTCCTTTCCTTGCTTGTTGCCATGTCTTGTAATGATTTGAAGGTAGTAGAGTTTCCCCTGTTTGCTCTCATACCATGTTGGGCTGAGATAGCCCCTTAGGATCTTTTCAAGGGAGAACTCTGGGTGGGATAGTGTTGTAATAGCGGAAGCGTTTAACAAAGTTTGTGAACCACCTTGCGCTGGTATGTGAGGGCAAAGTAGATTGATTATAGCAAGGAAGTACAAGATTATATAATAATGCAAGGAGTATGAAAGGATGCAGTTTGTAACTACTTTACTGTTGCTGTTGCGGTTCGATATTGTACGACTCGGGCAACTGCTCTGTAACGAGTCAGTTGTGTGTCCTTAACTGTCGCGCTGTATTTGTCAGGTCAAAGGTCGCTTGACCTTTGACTTTCGCGTAACCTCCGGTAACCTCTCAACCTCCGAAGGTTGACTCGCGTTTGTTTCGATACTGCTTGCTTCGCTTCTGGTGCGATGTTTCGACACGACTGAAGCGCTTAGGATTCACTGTTTCCAACACCATCGCCCTCCCATCCGACTCGCTCTGTTCCTCTCTGCTCTCTCTCTTCCTGCCTGCTCGCCCTGTTTCTTCCTGTTCACTCTCTTCCGCTGCTCAGTCTGTTCCCACTCTCACTCATCCCCGTCTCCAACCATGCAGAGTACAGGTCCCAGGCTCCCAGCACCACAGGCCAAGGTTGCATGCAATGTAGCAAACAAGAATGGGGAAATACAGTAGATTTCGTAGCTGTCTTCGTGTGGATGATCAACTGTGAACTTTGTTGCACTTTTTGGTAGTGGTCATGTGCATAGCTGCTCCTCAACTCAGAGTTTGTAATATAACAAAGCATCCAAGATCAAAACATTGAATGGCGAGTCATTATAGTACTATCAAACTGCCAGCCAACACATCACCACAGCACTAGCACTGATGTATAACGGACCTGTACAAACACAAATCAGGAAATAAGATGTGAGATGGCTGAGCAGCAGGGAAGCATACGGTGAAAGGCGGCATTGCGTGCAGAGGACGAAATGGGAGGGGAACGACAACAAGGAATGCAACAGAGAGGCAGAGAGGGAAACCAGGAGAGTGGTAGACAGTCAACGGGTGGCATGGGCAGAGATTGAAGGGTGAGCAGGGGACAATGGGGCAAAGGACAGAAACAGCAAACGTATGAGTGAGCAAGGGACAGGGTCCCTAAGATGACAGGGTGAGCAAAGGGAAAGTGAACAAAGGACAGAAACAGCAAAGGAGTAAGTAAGGCACAGAGTGGAAGGGTGAGGGATGGGTGCAAGGGTGGGTATGGTGGAATGGGTGGTGGAAAGATGGTAGAAGAGTGTGACGTGAGACCAATGCAGAGAAGCACAATGAAGGAAGAGAAGGCAAACGAAAGAGACTATGCGATGCAGCTTCGATGGGCACCTGAGTGATGGCATGTGGGACTTTGACCTCCCCCCTACAGCATTCACTATGGCAACCCCCACTGTTGGAGGCCACTACCTTAGGGTCAGAGGTGTGTGGTGTGCCTCTGGTCGTGGGTGTGAGAGCTCTCGAGCGTTGGAAAGGCAGTCAAAGCGAACCACCACTTCCTCTGTGAGGTTGGCTGCTGCTGCCGCAGGCGGGAACCCTACCTGACCATGAAGGGCACAGTGGCAGGGAGTTAGGATATGGGGTATGGGTCATGAGGTGTGAGGCATGGGGCATGGGTCACAGGGCAACAGAGGGTCGGAAGAGAGCAAGAGGGATGAAGGGGAGAAAGGCAACGGAGGGGCAAACCAGGGGCGAAATCGGAGGGGCGGGAGCTGCGGAGAGAGGGAGGTATGGCAGGAATGGAGCGAGGTAGAACGGGGGAGGAAGAAAGGTGAACCAAAGTAAGGGAGATTGATTGGAAGAGGAGAAGAGGCAAAGAGAGTATGGGCCATGAGGTATGGTGTATGGTATAGAGGCATGGCGTAGGGAGAATGTCGCATGGGGCAACGGGAGGGAGAGACATGGGGTATAGGGCATGGGGATCGAGGAAACAGAGGGCAGGACACGTGCGGAAAAGGAGGGAAACAAGGGAGAGGCACAGTGGGACGGACTATAGAGGAAGGGAGGGAGGGTAAATGGGAAAAGCGCATGAAATGACATGGGGGAAAGGGAAAGGGAAAGTGGAGAGGCGATGACGGAAGGGGCGAGAGGCGGAGAGGATCGGGCCCAAAGGGGAGGGAGTGACGGGAGCGACGTGGGCGACGTCTCCCATTCCCTTCCGCCTTCCATTTCCCCCCTTCCCCCCAACATTCACAATGCCACATAGCCACGCAAACACGCGGCCATCACCTGCACTCTGCGTCACGGGAATGCACGCCAGTTGCATTAGTGGTAGACGGAAGCGGCGGGAGAGGGAGGGGGTGGGGGAAAGGGAAGGGAGGAGTGGGACAGTGAGGAAAGCAAGTGACTGGAATGATGAACAGGATTGATGTAGGCAACAGGCGGGAGTGAGTGAGGCAGGAGGGGAGAGAAGGCTCTTCAGTCCCCCTCCCAATTCTTCCCGGAGAATGGACAGATGGAAGGAAGGAAAGACGACGAGAAGGAAAGGAAGGGGAGGGGATGAGTGGGAAGGGAGGCGAGGCGAAGACAGAGAAGGGAAGGAGGGGGACAGAGAGGGAAGTGAGGAGAGGAGCGGAGAGGGAAGGGAGGAGAGGGGAGATGGGAACATGTGTGAGCATGTCGTGTGTGTCGTGTGTGAGTGACGGGGAAGATGGGCAGAGGAGGAACCGGGGGGAGCGCAAAGAGGGTAAGAAGAGCAGATATGATGTCCATGTGTTAGTGAGTCACGTGTGAGCGACATGTGCGAGCGACGTGCGTGGGTGATGGGAGTGAGAGAGCGACAGTCACTGAGTGAGCGAGGGAGTGAGAGAGCGACGGGAGTGAGAGAGCGACGGGAGTGAGAGAGCGACGGGAGTGAGAGAGTGACGGGAGTGTGAGAGCGACGGGAGTGAGTGGGCGGCGGGAGAGAGAGAGAGCGACGGGAGAGCAAGCGCAAAGAAGTGAGAGAGCGACGGTAGAATGAGCGCGATGGGAGCGAGAGAGCGACGAGAGTGAGAGCGCGCCGGAAAGAGAGCGACAGGAGTGAGAGCGCGACGGGAGTGAGAGAGGGACGGGAGATGAGAGGGCGGCGGGAGTGAGAGAGCGACGGGAGTGAGAGCGCAAAGAAGTGAGAGAGCGAGGGTAGAATGAGCGCGACGGGGGCGAGAGAGCGACGAGAGTGAGAGCGCGCCGGAAAGAGAGAGCAACGGGAGTGAGAGGGCGGCGGGAGAGAGAGAGAGAGAGAGCGACGGGAGTGAGAGCGCAAAGAAGTGAGAGAGCGACGGTAGAATGAGCGCGACGGGAGCGAGAGAGCGACAAGAGTGAGGGCGCGCCGGAAAGAGAGAGCGACGGGAGTGAGAGCGCGACGAGAGTGAGAGAGCGACGGGAGTGAGAGTGTGACGGGAGTGAGAGCGCGACGGGGGGGAGAGCGCGACGGGAAAGAAAGTTTGACGGGAGAGAGAGAACGACGGGAGTGACGACGACGGGAGTGAGGGCGGGCCTTGAGTGATTGCGGACCGGCATTGAGTGCGGGCTAGGTTACCCTTCAGCGGCGACGAGTAAGTCTCACGGTGGCGATCAATCTGAGGGTCATGCCTTCCAAGCAATGTACGAGATCGGATGTGTTATGCGCGAAAAAGTCGCCGGGAAGTTTCGTCTTTATGTGCTACAAAAGTCTTAGCTTACGGCAAGCAGATGGGCGCAACTATGCTGACTATTGACGAGAATATGGGCTATGGAGCCTTCTATGCTACGAGTCTAGAAAGGTAATGTCGAGTTTCAAGTTCTGAAAGTGTGAACAGTGATACTTGCCTTTGTTTGTTTCTGGCGAGGCTCGTCCGTGTTTTTGCTGTGGGGCATTTGGCCAATCACCTTCTGGCCCACCAACTCCCTTCCCGGTGGGTAGCGAGAGCTCAGCTTTCTGAACCTGGTTACCCTGTTCTTGACGAAAACAAGTTCAAGAATCTGAAGTTGAACGTTTGCCATTATAGACTCGGGCTTTAACCTTAACCCTGCGCTGGTGTGGAGGGATTCACATTCTCCCCACACCCCGGGGTTTGTCTGAAATATCCAACCGAACCCAACCGTATCATCTCCGAAATCAAACACGCTCTTCATTCCTCAATTGTATTCCATTCCATCAGCACGGTATGATACCTCCTATTCTTTACGTAGCTGTCCTCCTGTCTATCCAACAGATCTCTCGCTGCACCCCACCCTACCTACTTACCATCCTCGCTGGCAGTGCTTGCTGTTCTTCTACACATTGCTGATCTCAGAGTCCTGATCTCGAATCTTGAGGATGGAGACACTCACCAACATCAGTAGTCTTCCAGATGACCTCCTCCTTTCGATCCTTAGGCGCTCCTTTACGCAACCAGATTCACGCAAATCCTACATTGGTAGCTTGTGGTCCCCTTATTCTTACTGGCTGTTCAATTATGATGAAGAACATCGATCTTATAAGGGTCTGTTATTCAAGACGCCGATACCAACCCCGCCTCCCACAGCAGAGGTTGCCCACAATCTTAAAATCGCGGCCGTTTGCCGTCATTGGCGTCGCCTATTGAAGCTTCACGTGACCACGCTGCTCGTAAAAGAAAACCTCGTGGTGTCACCCGAAGATCTCTCAGCCGCCGTCGCATGCTTCCCCAATCTCACCCATCTGTATCTCAGCGACAACAGCGTTGAGACGCTCAACGACGCGTTTCTTGCTCACCTCGCTGCGTCATGCCCGAAGCTAACGACTCTCCACGCGGGAAGGAGCTTTGCTGTGCAAATCTACCCAGAGGATCTCGAATCTAAGCCTTACCGCAGGAAGGAGGACCATCCGATATCTACGGACGGCTTGGATCGCTTCTTCATGAAGCTCCCTCTGCTGGAGGAGCTTTCCCTCTTCTGCCCCCACCAAGCGACAGAGTTGCCGGGTTCTTTCTTTCATACGAGGCATCTCCGCACTCTTGTCCTCGACGACGCATCGACCTTGGAGAATCCCAAATTTGCAAACCTCACTGCTCTTACCACCGTGTGTGTCACCTTTCCCTGGAATCTACTGCACCTAGCCACCCTCCTTCGCCTCCCACAGCTCGCCCATCTAACCACCTTCGCCCCATACCAGAGCATTCAGCCATCGACGGGTGCTGCAAGCATAGTGCTGCCGGCTTGCCTCAAGTCGCTCACTTTTGCAGTTTCTTGTCCTCCTTTCGGCACCATCATCTCCCCATCAGCATCGCCGTTCACCGGGCTGAAGGAGCTGCTCATCACCAACTGCACTGAACTCACGAGCCTTCCAGACCACATTGAAGACTTGCTGCCACGCCTTTGCAAGCTGACCATCCGCGAGTGCCGTTCTCTTGTTGGCCTGCCTGAAAGCTTTGCTTCCCTCGGCCGCCTGGAAACGCTCATACTCTATGAATGCGGTCTCCTTTCCTTACCCAGCAACTTCGGTCACCTACCTGCCCTCAAACTGCTGGTTTTGGAGTTTTTGCCTCTCTCGGCACTCCCTCCTTCCTTCATTTGTCTCACGTCACTCGAGGCACTCTTCCTATCTGAATGCGACAAGCTTCTCCAGCTGCCAGTAGATTTCTGCCAACTCACATCTCTTAAGGCTCTCTGCATCTCCCAATGCGACTTTCCCTTGCCAGACGACATAGGGGCCCTTGCAAGTCTTAAGGATCTCAGGCTTTGTGAATACGGACAGCAATTTCCGGCTTCATTCACGGAGCTGCTTTCCTTGACGAGCCTTGAGATGAATGGCTCCGAGGACAAATTCCAGCTGCTGGAAGCCGCGGGGGAGATTAGCAGCCTTCGAGAGCTGAAGATTTATTTTAGTTTAGTCCGCACGCTTCCCATGTCACTCTTTCAGCTTACTGGGCTTCAAAAGTTGGAGCTCTCCTTCTTCGAGGCACTCTTGGAACTACCCTCGAGGCTGGATATGCTCGTGGGGCTGAAGACACTGGAGCTGACTGATTGTGAGCAGCTGAGTGCACCTCCTGCTGGTCTGCCACCCTCTCTTGAGATCCTCTGCTTGGGGCCGTTTAGGGAAGGCTCTTCCCATGTGGTGGACATCTCGCACCTGACGCAGCTGAGGGTGACATGCGGGCCTGCAGGGAGCAGCAGGTTGTCGTGTTTGGAGCAGCTGGAGCAGCTTGAGATGCGTTTGGAAGATGACAGCCAGGAGCTCCCAGTTCCCCTGACTTTGATTTGTCTCCCTCGCCTGCGCAGCTTGCTGATAAAGGCGCCGGGAATTCGCAGCCTCCCAGAAAACATGGCGGCAGCATTGCCGGAGCTACGGCAGCTGAAGCTTCTTTCTTGGTCACTGGAAGAGCTGCCAGGAAGCATAGTGGAGCTCACCTCGCTGACGTCACTCACGATCAAAGCACCTCAGATGGTGGCGCTACCTGAGGGCATGAGCCGCTTGACTCGGCTGCGCAAACTGAAGCTGAAAGGCTGTGACGCCTTGCAGCATCTCCCGGAGTTTCTCACTCAACTGCACCAGCTGATACTGCATCGCTACTCCTACTCCGTTGCTCTGAGGCTGGATACTCTCTTAGAGGCCTGGACTTCATTGTAGGCGCTGCAGTATCGCAGATCTCAGTGCTGGCTAATGCTTTGAGAGGAAAGGCGTCTCTGAAGCCGGGCTTGCTCCAGTGAATCTGGTGCGGGCCCTGCTTGAGAAGATGGAGGAAATGAGTGAACTGGATACTTTTGAAACCTCTAGTCTGATCTCTCTTGACTTGTAGTACCACCGTTTGTTACTTGGATTCTCAAAAAGTGTCTTCACTCCTGTTGTCTGCAGGGAGGGTCCATAGTCCACACAAGATTTACAGTGCTGGGAAATCTACGTAACTAAACTATGCATGCTTGTCAAGTCTGAGCTTGTTAGCATCAGATCAGGGGTGCCACAGGCAAATAACCCAGGGTTTAGCCATCAGCAGGCTGACATAGACGCCTGGGAGAGGCTGTTGAATGTTCTTAGGAGTAGGACAGCATCTTTACTGCACCTTATGTTCCCTCTCATGTAGGTACACTGCAATTCAATCCAATGATGAATTAGCCACATCATTCTCATTCTCGTCTCATCACGAATCCTCACCCAGCTGCACCATCTGATATTGCATCATACCTCCATCCATCCCTTCCCTTCCCTCCCCTCCCTCCACCTAAGGTTTGCAGATGTGAAACTTCAAGATACGTATGAAGAGGCTTTGTGGGAACAAACAGGCGCTCTCCAAGGCTACAACCAGGCAAGAAACAGTTCAGGTGATGTACCATCATGCATGCTAGATGGTGTGCTTGTATGGTGTGGTGGATGAATGGATAGGGAGCAAGAAAACCGGGATCATCCTGCTTGGATGATGATGGATGCATGGTCGTGTATGTACGGTCCTGAATGCCGAATTCTACACATTGAGAAACGTTTTCAAAGATTCGGATACGGTATTTGTGAGACATGTAATTTTGAGAGAAATGTGCGCACCTAGATTTTCATGATGAGAGAAAGGATTCGCAAAATATGCATTACAGAATATGCAGTTTTTGTGGATGAAATGTGAGAATGCGCTCACAGCGATGCAGGCATGCATTGTAAGAGCTGCAATTTGATATGCATTTTGAGAGATGCAACAGATTTTATGAGAAATTACTTCTCAAAGATTACCGTAATCCCCCGGATAGAAGACCCCCCAAATTAAAAGACCCCCGGGTAGCTAATACGGGGGGGGTACTTTATAAAACCACGAAATCGTTATACCCCCCTTTTGAGGGGTAAACAATATAAGACCCCCCCCATTTTTTCCTATGTTAAGACCCCCCCCATTTTTTCTAGGGATTTAGCATAAGACCCTAGGGTCTTATATCCGGGGGATTACGGTACTTCTGCGAGATGCAATTGAAGAGAAGATTGTAGTAATATGCATTCTGTAATAATCCACCTCCTTGAATACACCCCAATTCTCGCATAAACCCCGTCATCCCCCCCATTGCTCTCATAGCCCTCAATCCTCTCCTAAGCCCCATTCCTCTCATACCCCAATCCTCTGATATTCCCTATCCCTCTCATACCCCCCACCCCTCTCATTTTCCCATGCCTCCCATACCCCGCACTCCTCTCAATCCCGCGCTCCTTTCACACACCCAATTCCTCTTATACACCTCCAATTCTGTCATACACCCCAATTTCTCATACTCTTCGATCTCCTCACTCCTCTCATACCCCCCCACACGCCTTTCCACTCAAATTTCCAATGCCCCCAGATTTTTCCTTACCCCCCCCCTACCCCCCCTTCCTCTCATATCCCCCCTTCCACGCCCCAATCCACTCATACCCCCCACTCCACTCATACCCCCCACTCCACTCATACCCCCCACTCCACTCATACCCCCCACTCCACTCATACCCCCCACTCCACTCATACCCCCCAATCCTCATACCCCCCACTCCTCTCATACCCCCCACTCATCCCGTACCCCCTGTGTTGGGTGAAGGCAGAATGATCATCACTACAAAAACTGTGCTCGGCTCTTGTTCTCCCTGCCGACTGTCCAGCACTCAACCTAAGTAATCCATTTGGGCTGAGGGCTTAAAGCCATTTATAATGCAATTAATGACGCCCTGAGCGATTCAGCACGCATCATCATGCATTGAGGCATTCATTGTGCATTTTATCATGCATAACGACATTCAACATCCCTATTATCATGCCATAAGATATTCAGCATACAAGATATCATCATATGCGCATTCAGCATGCAAGTCATCATGCTATGAGAAATTCAGAATTCATTCATCATGTCATGGGACATTTATCATAGAAAATAACATTATTAATGGCCCACCTAGTGTTCTCATAACCCTCTCACTCCTCTCATACTCCCCACCCTTCTCTCATACCTCCCATTTATACCCCCATTCCTCCCATACCCCCACTCCTCCCATACCCCCACTCCTCCCGTACCCCTACTCCTCCCATACCCCCACTCCTCCCACATCCCCACTCCACCCATACGCTCAAGGTTGCAAGAACAACGTTCAGCTCTGACTTCCTGAGCCCTTGTTATGGAAGGGTTGGTCTGGCTGCTTGCAGGTTTTTTTACCATGAGAGCATTCAGCATGATGCCATGTTTCTAGCATGCCATGAGACATTTACCATGGTCATGATCATGCCTTGAGACATTCATTCTCCAATTCACCATGCTTGGAAACATTGAGAATGACAATCATCATGTTACGAGACATCGAACATACATGTCATCATGTTATTTGACATTCACAATACCATCCATCATTCCATCATAATTCAACATGCCTTGAGGCATTTGAAGTGCAATTAACATGCCATGAGAGATTCTGTATGCTGATCATCATGGCTTAGAGACAATGAGAGGGGAAATCACCTATCCTGTCATGACATGCCATGCATCAAAGTATTCAGCACTCTACTCATCATGCTTTGAGAACTCAGCATGCAGATGATCATGCCATGGCACATTCAGATTGCAGTTAAACTCAGCCTACATTTTATAATGCGATGAGACAATTAACAAGGGATTGATAATTGTGTGGAATATTCAGCACATGGCTCAACATGCCTTTCATACACATGCAGCTGATCATACCATGACACATTCAGAATGCCATCCATTATGCTGTCTATGCTTGCAACATGTGATTGCTTATGCACTGAGACATTCAGCATAAAAATCGTCACACGATGAGAGATTTAACGTGCATCCATGTGCTGAGTTCATGTGCATCAGGAATGCTATTATGAAACATCAAGCATCCTTTGACATGCATCATGCAATGAGACACACCACATGGAAATCATGATGCTATAGGACTCAAAGCATGCAACTGAGCATACCAGGCCACATTCAGAATGCCATAGGTCGCGCCGTGATAAGTTTACCATGCACATTCTCCATTACTCAGACATTCAGCGTGCACTTCATCAAGCCACGAGATTGCGAATGAAGAGTCCACGACCCATCTTCATTGCAAGTCTTCATTCCATGAGCCAATGAGACCACTATATGCTATGCTACGGTGACACATCCAGCATTGTGACAGTCAGCAATGAGGCATACAGGATGCAAACCATTATGTCACGAGACATCCAGCATGCAATTTATCCTGCCATGAAACATTCATCATTCTCAGTTCATGAAGTTATGAGGCATTTAGAAATCAGCCATACAGCCTGCACATGCTCTGTAAGACACTCAGCCACCATTCTCTGAGACATTCATCATCCACTAAGCCATAAAGCATGCACACCATGTTGCCTGCCATGAGACATGTTATTCAGCGTGCATGTCATCTTGCCATACAACACCCGCCATACAATCTGTAATGTGGTGTTAGAGTCACCATGCACTTTGTCATGCCATGCAGGCCATTGTTGCGTGTGAAATTCACCATGCATAGTGAAATGCAAACATGTTGGGGTTGGCAATGTTGGAGTTGGCAATGGGTGATCCCATTTCAGACCCTTGAATGTGCTGGTTAGACTGTGTATTTACCACGAGCTGGATGTGTATAGCTTGATTAGGTCTCCTCTGTTAATTTCATGACCACACATCCATCTGATGTGAGCCACTCTGGAGGCCTTGTCAAGGTGTTTAGGGGAAGGACAGAGGCAAGTTGAGTTGAACTAGGCAAGTTGAGTCGAGGACATTATATCGAGGATATCGGTCTCTCGTGAGACTTGCCTCGCCGCTCTCCTCCACTCACTCACCGCCTTAACGTGGCTCACGCACGGAGATATCCAAGAGTGCAATCCGTTAGTAGTGCGTGTTTCACACTGCACGAAGTTGGATCCAATACGAATCATATTCATATTGCCACTCGCCGCAACAGGCAATGGTCGCTCGCGATCCACGTGTCGAGATTTGCGGGTGCAGCACGTGGCTCGTTTAGCGCGGCAGGTGCGATCAGCAATGGCGGCGCGAGAGGTGACGGTGGTGTTCGGTGAGGAGCGGTTCAAAATGGAAGTGGAGGTCGATACGGGTGTGGAGGTGAGGCAATAAGGGGGGGAGGGGGGAGAGAGGGGGGGTGTAGGTGTGGGTCTTGGATGATGAGGCGATAAATCAGAGGGGGATTATCCATAGAGGAAGGAAATGAAAGGGCGGGAGCCGATATGGGGGAAAGAGTGGGGGGGGGGGGGGGGAGGGGAGGTGGGGGGGAGAGGGGGGGGGGAATGGAATGCTATGGCGTTCGGCGAGGAGCAGTTTGATTGGAAGTGGCGGTCGATATGGGTGGCAAGGTGAAACAATTAGGGGGGCTGTGCTGTGAGGGGGATGACGGAGGGGAACAGAGATGGGTGGAAGTGGGATAGAGATGCGATAAGAGGAGCGACCTAGCGATGCAGCATAGGCGGTCGTCACCAGTGCTGAGAAGAGGCAGAATGCTCATGCGATGGTAGTATGGTACTAACTAGGGAACCAGGACGGACTTTTGAGGCGCCTCAAATGACATGGTACTAGGGGACTGGGACGGATGAGGAGGTAGGGGAGGTAGGGGAACGGTAGGAGGATGTAGGAGGAGGTAGGAGGAGGAAGCAAGAGGGATCC